CTGCCCCCTGCCAGGGGCATTCGCTGGGCTCATGAGCTCAGAGATCTCCCCAGGGCAGCGAGCTCGGAGCAGTGGAGAGCCCCAGGGTCTGTGCTGAGTGTGAGCCCCTGGCTGGGTGTGTCACCCCCCACATGCCCTGCCCCACCAGAGGAGCCTGCCACAGGGCTGGACTGGGCTCCTGCTCTCAGCTCCAGAGAACCCAGGCAGGGGAGGGAGTGGGCCAACCGCGCAGTGTCCTGGGGGTAGGGGAGTGATTTCCAGGGCAGACTGCCTTCCACTGGGTCATTGGGAGCCAGGTCTGCCCCAGGAGCCCCCAGCTCCTTGCAGCACGGAGCGGGCGCCCGGGAGGGGCTGACTCAACCGGAGCCGGACGCAGCAGCAGGAAGCCAAGGGCTCTGCAGCCTGAAGCATTTTTTCCATCTCCCTCCCCAGCCAAGTGCAAACAAAGCACAGCCGGGAACCGAGGGCTCCTTAAAAGGAGGAAAAGTGGCTGCTGGGGAAGCCAGGGAGCCGGCTGGGCTTCCTGCAGCAGGCTGCTCTCTGGCCCAAGGCCCCCAACGTGCCACTCCCAGTGCCCGGGTACGGACGCAGCTGCCAGCCCTGGGCACGTGGCTGCACCGGCCGATGCCTGGCACTGGGTGTTATGGGCATGATTCTTTGTGCCTTTGCCTGGGGCCATTGGGCATGTTTGTAGGGCAGCGTTGCTGGTGCAAGGCTTCCCATGGGCACCCTCTGCTTGCCCACTCCCATTGTACACCTGTGTGCACCCCCGTGTGCACACTCCTGCTTTTGCACAGCCAGAGAGCGACACAGTCTGACGTGAAAGCCCTTGAGTTCTCGCTCTTGTGCCCAGATGCCCATGGTAGCCAGTGGGAGATGACAAGGGCACATACCCCGCTGGGGCAGGGCTGAAGCTGCCCTCCTGAGCCCATGGCCCAGGCGCAGTGAGCTTGGAGGCCAGGGGCCAGGGCTGTGCCTGCTGTGAGGGACATGGCTGAGCCCTGGGGCCTGCTGCAGAGAGACCCAGGGCAGGGTGGATTGTACTAGGGAGCGTCTGGCCCTGGCACTGCTTTCTCGGGTTCCTGGGCTGGAAAAGACACTCAGTCCCTCCCCTGGGCAATGAACTCTGGGGGCACATTGGCAGGGCAGTGTGGGAGGGCAGCTCGCTCTGCCCCTGATGGTGCTGCACCCGTCCTGCGGGTGGTAGGCGGCTCCAGGCCAGAATCTCATGCTGGAGCCTGCGGAGCTGGCCAGCAGGTCCAACTCGGTGCCTGGCCTGGCGCTGGTTGGGAGGAGGGGGCCACCTCCCCACGAGGCACCCAAGTGAAATCCCCATCCCCGCAGGCCCCTGAGCAGCGTGTCAGCATCTGGCCTCTAGAAGCCATGCGGGCCGGAGCCAGCCACACCCTAGGCTCACCCTGGGAACGATCACCCCGTGCCAGCCCCAGGGCGTCTACAGGAATTGAATTTCCCGTGTGAAGAGGTCCCAGCTCCCTGGCGGGAGGGCTGGGGCGTCGCCCTGCCTGAGGCCAGGCTGAGGGGCTGGCGGAAGCAGAGCAGTGGCTGAGCAGAGAGCTGGGCTCTGGGCTGGTGGTAGTTAGCCAGGACCAGCAGGGACGTGTTGCCGGCTTCAGACTGAACCCCCGCCCCAACTGTTGCAAGAAAAGGGGCTTTGTAGCGTGAGCCGCACGCTGCCTCCCCCTGAGCTGTTTCCTGGCTGCGCTCTTTGGGGTGAGCTGTGCTGGAGGGCAGGGTGTGAGGGGTGACCCCACCCCCTGGCTGCCCGCCATCCCCGAGGTCACAGGGCACTTTCAATGGGCTCTTTGTGTGCCTGACAAGCACCCCTGTCTTCCCTGGGCTGCGGGAGGGGCACCTAGGCAGGGATTGGCAGCACCTTGCTGTGAAATGGGGCGCTGCAAATGGGGGGAAGCCCCTGTCTTCAGGCAGGGCCCGCCACCCCCAGCCCCAAGCACTCTCTGGCACTGCCCTCTCTGGTGCTGGTGGCACGGCCTCTCCCGCGCCTGGGAAGGGCCTGGCTGGGAGCAGAAGCAGCCCTGGAACGTGGGGAGAGCTCTGGCTCTGTGTGCGGGCCTGTGAGCCAATGTTGCAAGGCAGCACCCCAGGGAGCAGCCCTGGAGCAGCTCCATCCAGCCTGCAGGAGACTCTGACTCTCCTGGGCTGCTGGGGGGTGCCTGGGAAGGGTGTGTGTGGGCGGGGTCTGGCTGGGCAGCTGCAGGGGAGCTGCTGCGTTCTGAAAGGGGCCCCTGCCCCACACATAGGGCCCCTCTCCATTCTTCCCAGCCCCTGGGATAGCGAGAAGCCTCGCCTGGCCCCCCTGCCCTGCCCCCAGTTGGTTCCAGTACCCTGCAGCAGTCCTGCTGGCACCCCAGCCCCTATGCTATCGGGCAGGAAACAGACTCTCCTTGCAGACAGGCCGCCCACTTCCATGGGGTGAACCAAGCTAGGGGCAGGCAGCGCCAGTGGGCACGGCGACAAGCCTGCCCCATCCTTACCAGGATCTCAAAGCTCTGCACAACCTCCCCAACAGGTCAGGATCCTTCTCCCCACTTTATAGAGGGCAAAGTGAGGCACCTTGGGGGAAGGAGTTCACCCAGTTGCAGGACTGCGAATAAAACCCAGGAATCTGACTCCAACCCTCCCTGGCTCTAATCCACTAGATCCTACTTCCCTCCTCAAGCAGGATAGAGAACCCAGGAGCACTGACCCCTCAGCCCACCCCCTACTCTCTACTCCAGGGGGAATTCTGTGCCAAAAAATAAAAAATTATATGCACAATATTTCAAAATTCTGCATATTTTATTTATCAAAATAAAACAAAATAATCAGGCCAGTTTCAATTATTTTGGTAATTTATTTCAAAATACTTGTCAGCAAGTATGTCTGTAACAATACAGCAACAAGAAAGATGAAGGCAGGGCGGCGGCTGCTGGCCGGGTGCCCAGTTCTGAAGGCAGCACTGCTGCTAGCAACAGCACAAAAGTAAGGGTGGCATGGTATTGGCTTACTTTTGTGCTGTTGCTAGCAGCGGTGCTGCCTTCAGAGCTGGGAGGCTGGAGACCAGATTTCACGGTCTGTGATGCAATTTTCATGGCTGCGAATTTGGTAGACCCCTAAATGTAAGAGGGAGGGCAGCACAGCTAGGGGCAGACATGAGGAAAAAGGAAGCATTTTGGTTGAAATCACAAATTCTGTGTGAAAAAAAAATTCAGTGGGGAACATTAATTCTGCACAAATTCTGCATTGTGCAATGGCGCAGAATTCCAGCAGGAGCACAGTCCTCCCAAATCAGGATAAAGAACTCAGGAACTCTGAGCCTCCCAGCTCTAACCCACTAGTCCCTACTCCCCTCCCCAAACAGGAAATAGAACCCAGGAGTCCAGTCTCCCATGCCAGGCCCTTTTCTCCTTGGAGAAGAGCAGGTAGATTGTCCAGCTCTGCCACGTGCCCGGGTGGTGGTTTGCTAGTGTCAGACCCCACGCTGGGAAATCTGAAGCAGGCAGGGCCCAGTTTCTCCCTGGCACCCGTGGGTGCATCGCCATTGTATGCGGTGGGGGATGGGGCTGTGTTCCTGATACCTGACAAGGTGCTGTGGAGCGTGCGGGTGGGGAAGGGCATAGGAACTTCCCTGGCACAGTCTCTCTCTCCCCTCTGACAAGGCCGAGCCGTGTGCCCCCTTGGCCCCGCACCCTAGGGCGTTTGCTAGCCCAAGCCAGTGCTGCTCTCAGCTGGGGGCTCCCTGCGGGGAGAGCCCGGAGGCCCAGTCAGAGCGCAGCCACACGCTGGAGGAGCTCCCACCCTGTCCTGGGACTCCGGTGGTGAGGGGCTCCATGGGCCTTGCCCCTGCCAATGGGGGGCTCTGCTTGGGGGCAGGCCGCAGGGACTCCTGTGAGGGAGCTGTGTGGTGTCTGGCCTGTCTGCAGGGGCTGGGGGAGGTGGTGAGTGGGGCTGCTGTTACTCACTACAAGGAGCTGAGCAGCTGGTGCTGGGGAGGGGCCCCCGGCTGGATGCAGGCAGTGTGGTTCCCAGCGCAGGGCAGCTGCGAGCGGGGGATGAACTTTGGCAGCCGCAGCCTGATGCAGGGAGCCAGGGGCTGCTCCTGGCACAGCATGTGTGTGAAGCTCGGGGGTGTGAAGCTCGGGGATGCAGTTAGCAGGACTCCACAAACCCCTCCCCCCGGCCCAGAGCTCCCACCTGGGCCCGGCCCCTGCGGCATGGCCCCCTTCAGGGCTGGCTCTCACTGGAGGGTGCAGCTGGAATTGCAATGGGGGCTGAGGATTTTCCCAGCCCGGGAGCCAGCTGGGCCTGCCCCCTCTACCCCACGACCTGTGGAGCCTGGCCCTGGGGAGAAGGTCAGGGCTCTTCTCCCTCTGCCTGCATGGGCGGCCAACTCCTGAGGGAGGGCTCCCCAGCGCCATCCCCTGCCCTGCTGTCGTCCCAGGGGGTCCCGGCTGGTCTAGGTGGGAGCCGCCTGGGTTGGGCAACTGTCACACTGGGAGGGAGGTGCTGTGCTGCTGGGGGCAGTGTTGGGGGCTCAGTGGGGGGCGCTCTCCCACCACAGTCAGTGCTAGCGCCAGTGCCGCAGCACAGCACTAGGGGGCGCTGCGCTGCACAAGGTGCACAGCCAGGGTCCTGTCCCCTTGTGGTCATTAACCATCCCTCGGCTCTTTTTGTCAGAATAAGGGTGTTGGCTCCATTGGCCTGGCCAGGTCCTAACCCAGCGGGAGGCCTTCTGGTGTCCCAGGGTCCTGCAGGTTTCAGTTGGATACCATAGTCTTCCTCACTTCCTGTCCTAACTGTTGCGCTGTGTTGTTATGCGGCTGCAGCAACCCACCCCAGAGGTGGCTGAATCTCAGGGCTAGGCAAGGTGATCCCTGGAGGTAGCCAGTAAAGCTGGTCGGTGCAGAGGCCATAGAGTTGGTTCTCCTGGCTCAGCTGCCTCCTGCTCTCACGCTGGCCGTCTCTCCTCTCCGCATGCCCAGTCTACTTCCGCGCTCTGGTGAATTTCACCCAGTCCATTGACTACAACCCGCGCCTGGACGACGCCAATTCGGAGGAGTTCCGGGAGGTTTCGGAGGCCGTGGTGGATACGGTGAGCCCTGGCCCCTGCTACTCCCTGTCCCCTGCTCGGCCCCAGAGGTCTGTCGGCGCTGGCTGCCCAGTCTGGGCGAAAGGGGCTTCAGTCTCTAAGGCCCTTTCCAGGCAGGGTCACTGTCCCAGGGCAAACTGGGGTGGGGGAAGGGCGTGGAGCCGGTGGCTGGGTCAGCGACTTGGCTCATGGTGCCCTGCGCTCACCATTAGGCCGTGCTTCCCACAGGATTTCCCCACGCCCCCGGCCGTGGGGTACCATTTGCTGACGCTCTCTCTGCCTCTCTCCCCAGCTGGAGTCCGAGTACTACAAGATTGGTGGGGAGCAGGTGGTCAGCGTGGTGTTCATCAAGTGAGTGAGGTGCCCCTGGCAGTGCCGGGGGGTGGGGAGGGCAATGGAGACCCCTCTGCCCCCTGTTCTCCTGGGCATGGGGCATTTATCTCTGAGAGACGGCGCTTTCCCTGCTGTCAGCACCATGCCCCTGCTGTGCCCCAAGCACCCTGCGCCAGGGTCCAGAGTGCGCATGGGGAGTCACACACCGTGCCCAAAAAGAGACCCCCCCCCGCCCTCCACAGCTGGAGACATCGCAGGGGACGGGTGGGGGTCACGGCTCAGAGCCCCCCGCAGACTGCAGCTGTTTCAAACACACCTGAGCGTGGGAGCTAAAGGAGCAGCCCCATTAGCACAGCAGTAGTAGGGCTTTTATCATCTGTTGAGGGGGAGGTAACTAGGAACACACGAGACAGGCAGATCCCAATTGGGAGACCCACGCACACGTGTGAATCTGCTTCCATCCAGTACGGAGCAGTGGCCGGAGCACACGCATGGACACATGCACACCTCCCCCCATTCAGCCCTGCCCCCGCTCTCCCCAGGGAAATCGACGGCTATACCTTTGTGGAGCTGGATGTGGGCTCAGAGGGGAACCTGGACGAGGGGGAGATCCGCGAGGTGCTCTACTCTGTCATCGAGAGCGGCTCCATTGCCTCCTACATCACCTCCACGCAGGGCTTCCAGTTCCGGCGCCTCGGGGCAGGTGAGCGAGCCCCTGCCCAGATCCCCAGCTCGGGTCACTGCCCTGCGCTCTGTTGGAGTGTGCAAAGGGGGCCCGGGGACGGGGGGGCAGCAGCCTGCCAGTGTGTTTAGAACAGATCCTGGGTGTGCGGGAGGCCCCCTCCCCAGCAGTTGAGCCCTGGCGACTGGCAGACTAAGTGAGGGGTGGGGCCTGTGCCCATGATGGGCATGGTACGGTCCCAAGGCCGGTCTGCCCATGTGGTTCACCCTGCAGTGGCTCAGAGGGGCTGGCACAGATTGGCCTGGCCTGCGTGACAGGACCGGACTGGTTCCGGTCGCTCTCCTATAGAACCAGACTGCTCTCTGGGCTGTGTCCGTCCATCTGTCTGCAGTCACTGCGGTGCCCGGGTGCCGCGGTGTCACTCTGGACTCCCTAGCCTGTCTGCTCCCCTGCCCAGGCCCAGCAAACCCCACTGGAACCTGGTGCCCGGCACAGCAGGGGCCGTTCCGCTGGGAGGGTCGGCTGGCAGCCCAGATGACAGGCGAGGGGCAGTGCTACCTCTGCGGGGCAGCGATAGTGGCCCTGCCACCCATGGGGCCAGATGGAGGGCAGGTGGGAGGAAGGGCAGTGTTGGCTGGTCCACTGAGCTGCTGTCTGGCCAGGGCTGGGCCGGGCGGCCCCGAGCCAGGGACCCCTGCTCCCCAGGTAGCCTGTGCTTAGGCCTGGGGGGGCCCCGTCCTCCCCAGCTCTAACCTTCTATTCACTTGCAGCCCAGACCCCGCCTCCCCCCATTGCCAGGGAGTCGCCAGGTGAGTTGGGCGAGGCGGCAGGTGCAGGGGGAACCCAGAGCCTTGGCAGTGCGATTGGCAGCTGGGGGTCGGGGGCGGGAAGGCAGGGGCAGCCCCTGCTCTCCCCGTAGCCCCTTGCACCCTAGAGGCCCCCCGCTGACTGGCACGAGCTGGTTGGATGCAGGGTTTTGGCATTGGGCTCCTTCGGCCTGAAGAGACTTCCACTGCTGCACCCAGTGCGAGGCCTTTCCACCGAGCACCCGGGGGTCCCAGTTCGTGCCTCAGCAGTTGGCAGTAGCAGATTAAAGATCCCAGATGCCCAGCCTGTGGGTGAGCTGGTCTGGACTGTGCGAGAGGGCGCAGACAGCTCCTTTCCTCTCCCACGCCAGCTGCCAGCCCCCAGGAGGACTCTGTACCCAGTGTGTTGGGGGCGCTACCCGCCTGCCTTCGGCTGGTGTTAGGAGCGTAGACCAATGCTGGCCCCCCTGGCCTGGGCCATGCCCCATCAGCCCCCAGCAGGCTCCAGGTTCCCCTGCGCTGGGCCGTGCCCTGCTGTGCTGTGCTGGGCGTGTTTGTGGGCGGCCGGCCGTTCGCGTGGCTCCGGTGCCACTGCCTGATGCTGCCTGGCTGTTGGCCCTGCAGCTGGGGCCCTGGCAGGTGACATCCTCCTGCAGTTGTCGCAGACGCTGTCCTGTGGCTCGGCGCCGTTGTGCAGGCACATGGAACTGGCTTTCAGCCCAGTGCCACCACAGCAGGAGACACAGGGCCGTGCCAGGGTGCCTGCTTTCGGGCTGGGAACCAGGGGCCCCCTTCCCCTCGCTCCTGGACCAGGTGAGCTCTGAGCCCTGTCTGTGCTGCTCCTGGGATTGACCAGAGGTGGCGCTGCAGAGCACTGGCACTTACCTCCAATGCGGGTGAGCCTGCAGCCTCCACAGCACTGCCCCCTGCTGGTTGCATTGTGCGCTGCTCCCAGACCCCCACAGACCCAGGCCCAAGCAATCCCAACCCCACCTGAGCCCAGCAGACTCAACCAAGGTCAGAGCGGCTGGTTAGTGCAGGGACCCACCAGGCAGGAGTCCAAATCCACCGGGTTCTCTTGGTGCCGTGGGCAGGTGGGCCCTGTGCCATGGCATGTCTGCCGCATGGTGTGTGTGCTCCAAGGCATGTGCTGCGTGGCGTGTGCACATGCCCCGTGGTGTGTGTACCTGCTGCCTGCCTCGAACCGTGTGCAGTGCTTGTTTTGCTTCCTGAACATGCAGCTCGCGGGGTTTCTGGCATTTCCAGTTGGGCAGGGGCTTGCAGGGGGCAGCGAGGGGATTTCCGTGCAGCTGCGCAAGTCCGGGGAGGCGGGAGGAGGCAGAGTAGGGCGTCCCTGGGGGCGGGGGGGCAGCGAGGGGAGCTCTGGGGGCCCCCTGTGAGCCTGCGGAGGAGAAGGGGCTGCGAACAAGCTCTAGCCATCTGGCTGGGATTTGACATCCCAGGAGCTAGCTGGGCCAAGATCGAACTGGGCTGGCCCTGGAGCCCTGGCCCCCGGGCTGAGAGCTTTCCCCAGGGGTTGGGGCCCTAGTGGCACCTCCCCTCGCCCCCGTGGCTCTGACTCCTGCCCTGTTGCAGTGGCCCCGGAGGTGCGTGCCTGCACCGGGGAGGAGTTTGCCTGCACCAGCGGGGAGTGCATCGACAAGGAGTTCCGCTGCGACCGCCGCCCTGACTGCCGCGACATGTCGGACGAACAGAACTGCGGTAGGGGCGGGGCTACTGACAGGGGCAGGGCTATTGAAGGGGGCGGGGCCTGGTGCCAGACTGTGAGGCCTGGACCTGGCTGGATCCTCCCAGCCCATCCCCCATAGTGGTCTCCCATGTATGTCCTTCCTCTAACCAGCTCCTCCTCTCTGAACCACTCACAGCACAGAGATGGCCAGGCATCCCGCCCGAGCCCCCCTCAGTGCCCACGGGATCTCTGGTGGGGTTAAATGCCTCCCAGCAGCTTCCAGGCCTCAGCTCCCTCCCTCCCTGCGACCACCGAGACCCAAGGAACCCCCTGCCTGTCCCTGGCGCCTCCAGCTGAGGGGCTCTCCCACCTTGGAGGTGGGAGGGATTACGCCCCATGCTCCCTAAGGTGCTTTGCAGATGGGAACCTGAGGCACAGAGCAGCCAAGTTGAGAGCTGGGGCTAGAACTTGAAGCTAGAGCCCCGCCCGTCCTCGGTGATCCTAAGGAACAGAGAGCGCTGCTGCCCAGGCCGTGCCCTCTGTCTGTCCTTCTCTAGGCCAGAGCCGGAGTGGAGCAGACCCCTGTGGGGCGGCGGAGGGAGGGATTGCTCTCAGCAAGCTGGTCTCCTGGGCTCATCTGGTCCCAGGTGATGCCCCCTGGGAGCGGATTGCGCAGCCTGACCGAGCTCCCCCAGCGCTGGTCTGTCCCCGGCTCAGTTCCCTGGCTTAGCCCCTGCTGTGGCAGACCCAGAATATCCCCTGTAACTATGAGTGAGACCCTCTGTCCCCAGGCCTGGGGAGCGCGGGGCTGGCACAGCTGAGAGGGGGCACCTGCCCTGGAGGCCTGGCGAGCTCCCCAGGGCTCTGCGCCCAGCAGGACCTGCCTCGACCCCTGGGAACTGGAGGCTTCTGGCTGCAGGGGCTAGGAGTTCCCGGGTGCCCGTGGTCCTAGAGCCGTGGCTGCCTCGGGAACTAGCTGACACCGCCCCCCCCCCGCAGAGTGCCCCAGTGAGGAGTTCCGGAATGCCAGCGGGCTGGGGAGGCGGCATGTGTGTTGTGAAGGCTCTTCCCATGGGCATGCTCTGCCGACAAGCCCTCCCAGCATGTATGTGCCAGGGACACCCTCAGACTGCCAGGGGCATCCCAATGCTAGCAAAGAGCCCAGGGCCCAGCACCGCCAGTCCTTGCCATGGGACCTCCATGCTGCCATGACCCCGTGACAGGCAGCTGAGATTGGATGGGAGGGAACTAGTAATGTCCTGTGCCCCCCGGCCATGGAGTCCTCATTCCCTAAGGCTGGATCCCACTCCTGCCTATTCTGCAGGCCCTGGCTGCCTGCCTGGTCGCTGCCCCTCCTGCCAGCTGAACCCCCTGTAGCCAGCCTTGCTCTCCTGATCACAGATACCTTCCTTGGTGTCCCTGGCCTTTGAACTAGGATCCCCTGCCCCCAGCTCCCCTGCCCTGCCCGGCCTGGCCCAGGATCTCAGATCCCAGGGCTGGATCCCCTGCCCCCGGCTCTGGCTCTCAGCCCGTTTCTCTCCGGTCGCTAATGTTCTCTTTGTCTGGTCCCAGATCGGCAGGAAGTGGTGACCCTCACACCCCGGCCCATCACCACCGCTCAGCCAGCCACCTCCCGGACACCCACAACCACCCCCTTGACGCCCATGGTCACTACCAGGAGGGTGCCGTTCACCACATCCCCCCGGCTCATCACCTCCAAGCACCTGCCGGTTCGGCACCCCTTGGAGCAGCGCCCCTGCCGCCGGGATGAGGCTGTCTGCTCCAACAAGCAGTGCATACCCCGGGACTACCTGTGCGACGGCGAGCGGGACTGCCTGGATGGGAGCGACGAGCTCAGCTGCGGTAGGGGGCATGCGGGGGCTGGGATGGGCCAGGAGGGGCAGCAAAAGAGCAGCCAGACTAGCGGCTGCAGCACTAGCCCAGGACATGGCCCTCGCTCGCCTGGCTCCCGCAATTGGCTGACGGATCATTCCTGGGGAATCGGGTCCCTGTGCAGCACTGGGGAGGGGCTGTCGCATGGCACGGTGCGGGGGTACAGGCGCAGCGCTGGGGAGGGGCTGTCGCATGGCACGGTGCGGGGGTACAGGCGCAGCGCTGGGGAGGGGCTGTCGCATGGCACGGTGCGGGGGTACAGGCGCAGCGCTGGGGGGGGGCTGTTGCATGGTACGGTGCGGGGGTACAGGCGCAGCGCTGGGGAGGGGCTGTCGCATGGCACGGTGTGGGGGTACAGGTGCAGCGCTGGGGAGGGGCTGTCGCATGTTACGGTGCGGGGGTACAGGCGCAGCGCTGGGGAGGGGCTGTCGCATGGCACGGTGCGGGGGTAGAGGTGCAGCGCTGGGGAGGGGCTGTCGCATGGCACGGTGCGGGGTGCAGGCGCAGCACTGGGGAGGGGCTGTCGCATGGCACAGTGCGGGGGTACAGGCGCAGCGCTGGGGAGGGGCTGTGTCTGGCTGCAGGCAGCGCTCATGCTGTAGGGGGGCCCAGGCAGCACACTGATGGATTCCCCCGCCCGACAGGCACCCCTACCCCGTGCGAGCCCAACGAGTTCAAGTGCCGGAACGGGCACTGCGCCCTCAAGCTGTGGCGCTGCGACGGGGACAATGACTGTGTGGACGGCTCCGATGAGGTGGACTGCCGTAAGTGTGCTGGCTAGAGTGCCACTCTGCCGCCTCGGGCCGTGCCAGAGAGCTCCCGGCCTTCCCCGGGCCCTGCCCAGTTCCCCCAGCCTGGCTCCGTGGAGCCTCCAGGGCACCAGCCCTTCCTTGCCGGGAGTGTGCGGGCACCCAGGCCAGCTCCAGGCTGCTCCCTGGTGTCCCTGGAAACGGCCCAGGCTGTTGCTCTGACCTCCAGGGTGCAAAGGAGGCCGAGCAGGGAGGACGAATAGAGCCGTCTCCTGACTCCACAGAGACCCTTGGGACTGGGGGCTCTGGCTGGCGGCAGGTTGGGGCCGAGGCGGAGGATGCTGCTTAAAAGGGCACGGCTTGTCCCTTGGTGCCTCTCACCCAGCTGGCGCGCTGTGTCCTGGGGCCAGGGAGTGATGGCCCAGAGGAGCTGCCATCACCCACACGTGATGCCAGCTGGGCAGGGGGCGATGCGGGTCAGGCTGGGGGCGGTGATGCCAGCTGGGCAGGGGGCGATGCTTGTCAGGCGGGGAGCGGTGATGTCAGCTGGGCAGGGGGCGATGCTGGTCAGGCAGTGGTGATGCCAGCTGGGCAGGGG